GATAAAGAGCTTCAGCCAGCCCAGGCTGAACATGCAGATGACAGTCTAGTTTACTCGGAGGGTGAGAATGATCTAGTTGTTCCTCCTTTCTTATCACCCTTCGTGGAGCGGTCCTATGGGAATCCAGTATTTAAGGAGAAAGAAGCAGACCGCAGAGATGACTTTGCTGAATCAAGTAATGTGTTTAAAGGTATGATGGATCGTCTGGATATAGCATTCAAAGAAAAGAACCAGGCTATGCGGAGGTTTGTTGAGAGTCAAGCAGAATTTTCCAGATGCCAGGAAAAGACAATTAGACAATGTATAGAAGAAATGAGACGGGTCTTTGAAAAAGGCACTAGGGTGATGCGAGAAACTGGGGAAGAAAGTCGCAGACCACTACATGCTGTTTCAGAACAAGTGGTTGAGCAAGTGCAACAGCCTAGACCTGAGATCCCTCCTCCAGTCGTTGAGATGCCCAGACAGATTCAGGAAGCCCTAATCCCAACACTCGGGGGGCAAGGGAATCAACCTCATCCCAATATTCAACAGCAGCATTTTGTCATTGGTGAAGGGCAAAGACAACACCAATTGATGGAGGCTGTTACTCCTGTTGCAGACCTTGGCCATCAACCTCAGCATAAGTATATTCTGCCAGTTAGGAAGGCAAATGTGGGTCCTTGTCATCAACCTTGTCCAAGGGACTTTTTCCAGCCACAAGTTCCTCCAGCCCAGCTGGTACAGCGTGGTCTGCAGAATCAACCAGTTCAATTCTTCAATAGAGACCATGGGCCAACCTTGAGGCCATTTGAAAAGATTGATAAGGGTTTCTTGAAATTTCCAGACAAAGCGAAGGAAACCATGGGAGTGGATGCAGATCCTTTTCCAGCTGTGTCTGTGGGCGTGAATGTTGCAAACCTCAGGAGTGTCGCCAGAAATCGCAGTCTGCCTTATGCTCAAAGGAACCTTGCTGCAGAAGACTTGAGGTGGGTTCTTGAGGCACAGAGATCCAGACATAGCAGGAGCGTCAGGTCAGACCAGCAGAGGCTCGGGGGGCAAGAAAGGATTACTGTGACCAGGAATTTCAATCCAGAGGGTGCCAGACGTTATTCAATTGGTACTAGATCTCCAAGGATGGTCAAACCGCCACTCAGGTCACCTTCCAGACGGTGGGAGAAAGTCAATCATCCCAAGTTTCTAGCCCAGAATCCCAGAACCTTGAGGCGCAGACTGCAGCGCAAGAGGGCTAAAGAGCGAAAAAGACACCAGAAGCAGGTGGAGGCTGAGGGAAGTTCATCTCGCAGACCACGCCAACCTACCAAAAGGAATATGGTCTGGGTGAGAAAAGAGAAAAAGGAGGCTGTAACCCAGACTTTACAGAAGGAGGATGACCAATCTCCAGCCTCTCCAAAGGTGGCGTCTGTCATTATGAGTCCAGACGGAGTTTTGAAAGAAACTTTTGAAGCACAAGAACAGTCTGAGAATCGTGGAGCTGAATCAAAAGAAGATGGCACTATTCATTTTGGGGAATTCTCAGTGAATTTGTCATGTCTGGTGCTGACATTACCCTTGGTTTTCCAAGCCAAGAAAGAGGAGGAACCAATCGTCTGTGAGTTCCCAGAACAGACAGAAGAAGAGGTAATTTTTGTTCCAGTTCAGGATGATGAAGAGGAGGACATGGCTGACAAAATTGTGTTTGAAAAACCAGAAGAAAAGATGGCCAGACACATTAGGCCACTTTATATCAATGCTCACATGGATGGGACTCCAATCAGCCGTGTCTTGGTGGATAATGGAGCTGCAGTCAATGT